GGTTTAGGCAGCCGAAAATATTTTCGGCAATTTTTATTTTCGGCGAGCCAAAAACAATTTCGGCACCCATGTATAATTACGTAGTGTTGAGCCTCTGAACTGATAATCGACACGAAGATTTACGGCAGTTAATTTATTATTACAGAATGTAACCAAGAATGACTCGTTTAATAGATTTTGGGCATTTTGGATATCATCAGTGTCTGAATCATCATTAAAATCATCATCAGATTCATCAAAACCTTCAGTGAAGGTTTGGTAATGTTCTTTACATTCTTTTGTAAGATAGAATTCTAAGGATTGAAGATGTATTGATGCAAATTTGTTTGGTGTGTAATGGTCAGGAATTCCTAACAAATATGCCGAAACTTGTGGGCTTGTAAGTTCTGATTGACCCGCTATTTTGTTAAGGCATTTAGTTATAAGTTTGCGGGAATTATTTACAATATCGATAGAGCTTTTGTTAGATGCTTGTGTTAAAAAATTTTCTAAAGTAGAGGCACATATTAAAAAAGAACTATGTGTACTCAGATCCGATTTAGTTATATAATCAGTAATATAGTAGATGTATGCTAAGGCCAATTTACAAGTAGCAATAAATTTAATATCATTGTTTCCACAGCAGGCAGCAGTTATGTATGGGTTGTGATTATTGATAAGAGAATTAGTTCGTTGAATTGCAATAATGCCTTGATCAGGAAAAATCATTCCAGGAGGATCTACAAGTTCTCTCGAAAAATCAAACCTGCATCATTTTTATAAGCCACGATTGTATTTTTTGCATGTCCGGCTACAGCAATGATAAAGTGTACGTTTGGTAAGAGCGAGTAAGTCTAGATGGAATTTCTCTTCAAAATCAGATGATCTAGGGTCTGGTATAGGTTGAAAAGAGGGATGTAATCGTTTTTCAAAAATCGTTTTTGGAGCAGAGTACTCAGCCTTAAGCATTTCATCTGTTAAAACTTCATCTTCCTTAAGCAGATAGCTAATATCTTCTCGAATAATATTACTGACATAACTTAGTAACCGTTCGCGAAATCCAATGTCATCTTTAATTTTATTATACAACATTATTGGGTCAGGCGCGCCATGAAGCCAAATCAACAGGTGGCAATGAGGAGTACCACGATCTTGATATTCAACAACACCATAGTAATTTTTTATAAAACCTAGCACACCACCATTTTCTTTATTATAACCAATTAAAGTATTTATAATTGAATGAATGGTTACATTAAAATATTTGGCAACGGCTGAGGGATCAAGATGAGCGAGTCGAGCTCTTTCAGAAGCTTTCGGAAAATTTTCAGGGGTAAGTTTTTCAATATCAATTTCGTTTCCAGCATACATCATTACAATAGGACTGTGGAGATCAGCTGGGTTAATCGTAATAAAGAGTGAAGGTGTACCATCACGCACAATAATAGCGCGGATTTCATTACGCATGCGAGCACGCGATTGGTGAGAGGCCATTAATTTAGAACCAGCAGCATTAATATTTCTAAGTAGCTCATGAATAGCAAGATTAGATATATGCTGTTTTTTTTTGTTCTTGTTCAATAGCCAGTTTTATATCATGTAAATTGAGATTAGATATTAATCTAGCTGAACGATCAAAGTTTTTGTTTCGAGTTAGATTATAGGACTCAGTTGACACTTCTCGTCGTTGCAAAACGTCAAATATAACGAAAGGAAATGATCTATGCTGCCTGAACTTGGGATCACGGTGATGCATGAGGTGATTAGCATATTTTTTTAACGATACACGTGTTTGTCTGCCTTCATGAACCCCCGACACCATAAGGATAGAGAACAGGAAATCCAGCAGGAAAAAGCGACGGATCCTCATATTTATTCAGAGGTTTGTTACCATGGGGTACACAGATTAGATGATTAACCTCATTACACCTTTCATTTGAAGAGTGTTGGTTACTTGAATGTTGATTAGATTTTTCTACCAATTTTTGAAGCGAAAACAGAGTAAGTACTTTTTTAGTAACGAGTACATCATCGACATGCAATATTCCAGAGGGCCTAAGTTCGCTTGCATTATTAATTGTATTATTATTAATAAAATTGTTTAAATTATGCTCAGAATCATCCTCATCATCGGTTTCACTATCAGATTGTTGATAAGCTTCTTGAGCATAACCAGTATAGTGTTCTGTTTTCCAAGAGTCGATATCTACAACCGTGGTGGTTAATAATAAGGATTCTGGAATTTCACCTTCTGGCAAAAGGTTTAATGCATTTTCGTCAATTCTGAATTTATCTTTAAATAATTTATTGTGGGAAAATAACCAATTAAGTGCCGTTGATACCTTACTTTTCCGAACTTGAAGTACCTTTTTTAATTGATAATTAGTAGGAGATCCTTTTCCGACAAAAACTACTTTTAAATATTCGGAAAGCCGATATATGGGTAAAGGTAATATATTAAGCAATGAGCTAGGATTTTGTGGTAATGTGATAACATGACCTTTAAGTTTATGATGGGTATGCTTTCTTTTTGTTAATTGGATAAGATTCATACATAAGTAACCGGGTGAGATAAGGAGTTGCTCTGGTATGGTTAATTCTTGAAGACATAAAGGCGTAGGTCCAAACCACATGTTATTAGCTAAGGATAATGGAGGAAGTTTATTTTTCTTTAAACAATCATAGCAGGTATTACAAGTTCGTAAAGTAAAGGGATCGTGACAGTCGGTGGAATTATGATTATTTTGGTATACAAAACCAGATCGATCTAGAAGAATTTTTAAGTCACTATCGATACGAGGGTGTTCATAATTAAAATTAATTTCAAATGATGGTTCAATAAGATCATATTAATCTCATCCACAGAGATTATTTTGTAGCTTTTGTAATTGTAAAGTCCCGAGCAAACAGCGCATAGTAATTCGCGTAATTCGTTAAGATTTATGTTATCACGAAATTCAGCTAATGCATCTTTTGCTATTTCAGGATCGATCTGTTGAGGCCACATAACATGTTTTTCAGCTGTTTTCTCAAATTCTTTGTCCATCTCTAGAACGCACAAAGGAATATCTAATTCATCTGACTGATGGCTTGTTATACAGGGTTCAAATCTTTTTAGCTTTCGGCGATTTTTCTGCCTTATATTAGATTCCTGGACGTATTCTTCATTTTTACGGCGGTTAGCCATATTGATCCTATTTTATTATTTTCGGATTTCTGAAAAAAATGGTCTTTACGTTTGGCAGCTTTTCGTTCGCGATCTTTCATTTTTCTAGATTCACCTCTAGTTACAACGTCGACCATAGTTTAGTTTATTACGGTGAAATATAAAAATTAAGAGTATTTCTTTATAATAAGAAATTTTAGGATATGTTGAAATTTTATTGTCTGCCATTCATGATTCACTCTTTTTATAATTTTTCGTCTGAACTTACGAAAGAATAATTTGAAGTGAAGAATTATAAGGCTTCTTATTACAAATTACCAAATCTGGTCCACTTTATTAAATTATTTTGAATGAATATTCTTTAATATTATTTTATTCCGATTATGGTAGGTTCTAGAAGTATCATTTAATAATCTTCTTTTGAAATTACATTCCCGATTTGGGATAGATGAATTATAGTAGCAGGTCCAGATTTTAGCATAACTTATTTAAGTATAGAGTAGATTGAAAACAGGTATTTTGATTTCAGCCCAAACATTATGAATGTTTCCAATTTAGTAATAGGTAAATTTTGGTAAGGTTATTTCAGGTGAATTTGTATTCTTTGCACGCTAAATATCGATATGCTAATTAATTAATACTAACGCATATTATAACAAAAGAAGTAATTAACAAGGGAATCTATCACAAGCTCGTACAAACGATAAAATACCTATCAAACGAGAATAGAGATATTAATAACCGAATGACAATAAAATGGTACAAACTAAATTAAGAATGAACAATATTGATATAAAATTTTTAATTAAGAGGTTAGTTACTATAAACTATCGTATGCATATACTATCTTTCATATACCGTTCTATAAGAAATCTAACATGTTATATTTTTATTGAATATAATAGTTTAGAATTTGATCCAGTCACCGTAATTAAAGAAATCTGTGTATATTTGAAATTTAAATTCAGTGACAAATTTTTCAGGGAGGATTATTGTATTTAATTACATTAATTATAATATTATTTCACCAGCAAAGGTGTCAGCTCACAATAGTTTAATAATAGTACGAAATCAAGGGTTCATCGATTTTAATAGTATCATATGCAAACTTAAAGTGAAAGAAATAGAAAAATTTTTTTTTATCCACATTCTAGTTATATACCCCATTTGACCCTAAATTACGTCATTATGTCATTAATCACAAGCTTCTTTTTGACTTTCACGGGCATACATCATACATCATTAATTGAATTAATTACTCTCTGATCGATCCTATTTAATCAGCTTGTAAACACGTGACCAAGATATTCCAATTTAAAGCAATAAGTGTTGATTTTTTTTTTTTTTTTTTGTATGCAATCAATTAATTTTTATATTCAAAGTTTCTTTAACTGATATACCGCGTATGAATAAATTGGAAAGCCACTGCTTATAACGATCAGTAAGCAAATATAATGAATATTATGACATTATCCATTTAAGTATTTAAAATAAGCCATTGAAGTTTGTAAAATAACGAATTGATCACAATAAAAAAGGTGAAATATGTTATCGTTTACTAAGCAGAATATGAAACTTAAGTGGCTTCGCGAATTGTATATTAAATAGCATAAATAAACTCAATTATTAGGTCGATTGAATGAATTGAGTACCGGTACTCTTTGACCTTAAATTGGTAATCACGGGTTACACACGCTTAATATCTAATTTAATTAAATTTTCTCGATACATTTAAGCGTCCTACGAATTACATAAAACAAACATCATTAGAATTTGTAATGTCTGGTCTAACAATATTATATATCATGTATAGTATATGCACTAAGTATCTATTTATTCATGAACAACGGTCGATCTCACATATATAATCAAACTTATTTAAAAAGGTTATAAGTAAACTATATATTTACTAGTTAAGCTATTTAACGTTTTCTATTTTTTCCCTACTTTTTTACCTTTTTCATTCAGTTTTCCTCTAGCAAACTTTCTTTTTTTTTAGGTTGAGCTTCTTCATCAAGATCTTCAATATCATCTTGTGAATTTGCATCCTCATCTAATTCTGCAGTTTTTTGATTGTGAATATTTGTATCAAACGGCTGGTTAATATCTTGAGAACTTGAAGAAGATTCAACACGTTGCTTTGGTTGGATGACAGTCGAATCGATGTCATCATCAATAATATCAATAATTGATGGCTTATTAGATGCCGTCAAAGAAGAGCTTTTGGATGTGGTAATATTGATAGATGAAGTTCTTAGATAATCGATGTCAGTAGCTTCAATCATCATTTTTACGGTTTTAGAAAATTTAAAGAGACCCGATATAAAATATGTAGACCGTAGCTTAATATTTGAACCCGAAGGGCCTAAATATTTAAACCGAGAAGATTGGGAAGGATAAATCACAGTCAAATCCATTTTGACATCAGGCTTACTAGTAACAGAATTATATTCAATGGTCTCGGCACCAAAATGAATAAAGTCTGTAACCTCTTTCGG